TTAACTAAGAAATACTTATTTATTCCTACTCGTTTTTTATTGTGTTTTTTTTTTTTTTATGCATTTTTTTTTTTTTTGCGGTTTCATTGTTATGCATACGTATATTGTTATGCATAGTGTATGTTATCATGTGTATTGTCCATTGTTAGTTGTTTATTTTAAGCACATGGAGGCCATGCTTGTTGTATGAAATGTGCTATATAAATAAAGTTGTCTTGACTTAAAGAGAGGGGAAAAGTCACAGGGCTGAACAGAGAAACAGATAAAGATATTCAACTACGTTAGAAAAACTGTGAGACAAAAAGTCATACTGTCAAGAACATCTTGAAGTAGAAAAAGGTGATGATACAGCTGTACAGTAACGTCGGAACCAGCAGACCAATCAGAATGAACTCCAGAAGAGTCCACTCATCACTTTCAGGTTGAGGTTTAGGTTGCTTTTAGCTTCTTCCTTTTGTCCTTCCTTTTGTCCTGAAAGATACCCAAGAAAGGAAATGAAAGTCGCACACAAACTCAACGCCACCCCTGCATAAGTCAGTGCCCCCCCCCCCCCAGTCAATAAAGTCTGCACACGCCCCTGAACTCAGCAATACAATCAGTATGAAAGGCACATCATGAAAAGAGATGTTTGGATTTTCTATTTTTTCATGGGTAAACATACCTTCCAGTAGGGTGGTTGGTTTTCCTTCTTTGGTGGTATGTAAGTTGTTTATGTTCAGTGTGAACTCACACACGTATTTTATTTTCATTTCTTCTGGCCTGATGTTGAAAATGAGGAATATGTACTTGTGATTCTCTTTGTAATAGACGATGCCCTTACAGCTGCTCGATCCCAACTGGCAGAGAGTTTTTCTGAAAGAAGACACAATTATTTCCGACGGAATAATTGTGGGTGATGAATAAAAGAAGTCGTTTTACTTTTGGTGGAGGATTAGGTTAGGGCATAGTGCTCCTAAAGGAATGCTACAAGGGGCACAGGCTCTCGGGGAACAGTCAGTCCGACAGTAATTTAAAAAGTCAGAGCCCTTTTCACATTAGGCACGATTGTTTTTGCCCGAGCACGATTTCTCCCCCCTCTATCACTTTTGGATCACAGAGTGAGATTTATGCTGAAATAACGATAGTATGTAAAAAAAAATTGCATGACTGCAACAATGAAGGCGTGCACAAACACACGCGCACACACATCATCTGTGTGTCTGTTTCCTATTTATTCCCACACACATGGACATCGGGATACTTACGCGGAGATGGTGTTGAGTCGAACATCTATCACAGAGTTGACATTCCCCGTGTGTTCACAGGTGATGGAGGCTGATCTGTCAGGTCTCACGGTCACAGTCTGCGGCTGAATCACCTCATAACCTGAATGAAGACATCACATCAGCCCCTCGTTTAACTGCTTCCATTTTCTTATTTTATTTCAATCAATATAATTCTAATGGATTATTATACAAACAAATGAGGCATTCTCTTATTTAATCTATTTATTTTTTGGCATATTCTCAGATTTCCTCTTCTCTGTGATTGTTTTAGGGATTTTTAAATGTTCTATTTAAATGTTTCTGATTCCTGTGAAGTGCTTTGAATTGCCTTGTTGAAATGTGTTACATAAATAAACGTGCCTTGCCTCGTAGATCTCGACATGTAATCTCATACGGTCTTCTGGTTTAACCCACTGAGCCACAGCTGCCCTCATAAGGTCTTCTGGTTTAACCCGCTGACGAAGCAAGAACACCCAAGAACACGTCGGGCATGTTGCCGCAGGAGCTAAGAATCGAGCCCCGACCATCCGGATGAGAGACGGTCAACTGAGCCACGGTTGCCCTGACTTGCGAGGAGAAATTACATTGACAGCACATGTAACACTCAGTCTCCTGCTAAGCAAGTTCTGCCAGACCGTCCCATAGCAATTCAGGGTTTAGTGTCTTGCCCAAGGACACATCAGGCATGTTGCAGCAGGAGCTGGGGATAGAACCCCCGACCTCCTGGTTGAGACACGGCCGATTCTACCTCAGAGGAAAGGCTGACTCTCCCACTGAGCCACAGCTGCCCTTACTTGTGAGGAGAATTGACATTAACCACACATGTAACACACAAGTGTCCTGCTAAGCCAGTTCTGTCAGACCGTCCCATAGGCTCGGTATCTACCCTCTAGATCAGGGATGTCAGACATACAGCCCGACAGCAGGTTTCATACGGGACGTTTTGGGAAGAAGGAGGAAATGTATTGAAAAATATTTTGAGATTTTTAATAAATAAAATATTTGTAATACGTATTTTCCCCGAATTGTATTAAAACCTATGTAAAATGAGCAGCGTAAAGGTTGATATCATGATACGAATATCAATTAAACGGGGCACTTTGAATTATCTTCTCAGCAGGGAGTATCATAAATAAGACGAGTGGCCGAGCGCACGAGCTGCTCCTGCATTACGCTAATCAGAAAACAGACTGAACACCTGAGAGAGGTAACACAGAATGCAGGTTTTCAAGAGAGATCGAAGGAGCGATATTTCTTTAGTTAGAAATAGAAGTAGAAGAATAGAAGTTGCCAGAATTGCATCAAAGCTACTGCGCACTGCGCGCGCATCATGACGGTCTTCAGTTCACACTTCTTTCCAGTTTCTCCTGTCTTGACTGATGTAAAACAAAAGTTTTGGCTGATAATAACAAAGCTTCCACAATGAGCAGCTCGTGCAAATAAAAAACAATCATCTCCGCCATGCGTAACGGCCCAGACCGTCTCCACACATCCAGACGTTGAGCCCTGATGCATCTCCCGACTAGTTTTACCTCTGGTTTTTGTAAAACAGTAAATTAAAATGAATATTAACTGATTTTAATTACAGATGGTTCATTTTTACGTCACCCAGAGGTGAACGTGTTGTGTTGATCACCTAAAAGTTTCAGCGTGACATCACTTCTAAATGCAGTAGACTGCTGTTGAACCTTTATCACCAGCTTTTATCAGACCGTAAAAATATCTATTATAACTATACTAATAACTATTACTGAACATTTCATTCTTATCCAAAAACGATATCACGCACAGGCTGCCCGATCTACAGAGGTCCGCTGGTTTAACTGTGGAGCAGCGCTAAAATGCTTTCTCGAATTGTGCACGGAGATGGCACAGATTCATTAAAAAGTCAGTGACAGAGTTAGATTACGATAGTGCGGACACGGAGAAGAACGGACTGCCAGACTCATATGAAATGTCGTTTAACTGAGTTTACTTAGTTGAAAAACGTGCACTCCACAGACTGCAGTGCGCAACGCTGAAGGGTCAATTCAAGTCTGTTCGTTTGGAAACATGTTATCATTTTATAATGCCTACTACTAAAATACCCGAAGATGCATCGAAGACACTTTGTGTGTTTGTGACAACTTGATTCATGTGAGCAGGTTTTATCTGTAATGAACCTTAACGAGTGCAAACTGTGCTGTGGCCTGACACACAGATCTAAAGTCTCTTTCTCTCTCTCTCTCTCTCTCTCTCTCTCTCTCTCTCTCTGTCTGTCTCTCGCTCTCTCTCGCTGTCTCTCTAATGCACTGATCCCAGGGCAGGTAGAATAACCTGAGTCAAAGTTTTTATAACCTTGAACAGCAATATTTAAATATAATATAATAATCTCAAACAAAACATAATTATTGGTGTTGTCTTCTGTAATGTGGTACATTTAAATATTTCCATGTGCCAACATGCAGTTTGCAATGACAGAGTTAACCCCTCTGCTTAATGTTAATGTTAAAGTTTTCTATACAATCATACATTAGCCTATATATATCCATGTGTTGAGTTATAGTGATGTTGGCAAAATTAGTCTGGCCCACTTGAGGTCTCATTTGAACAAATCCGGCCCCCGACCTAATAGAACTCTGACATTCCTGCTCTAGATGATGCCACAGTCAGGGGTGTGTTACCCGACCTGCTCTATCTAAAAGCTTGTGATTTGACACGATAAAAATGTGAGGTTAAAGATAAGGGAGAGACACAAAGTGACCTTGGTTGTTGTACTCACGGCTGACCCTATCAGTACAGCTTTGACTGCTGTCAGGCTCGGGGAGTGAGCTACCTGAAATTCCATCACCTATGTACATAAAAACTGAAAGTGATTCCAAACAGCGCTTGATGAGATGTTTCATTTGATAAGGAATATTTGTTGTTGTAGTTGGTAAAAATCTTTATATTTAAAAGAACTGTATAATCATAGATTAAGACACTTACCTTGGCTGAAGTGGAGTACGACGCTCAGATAAATGGAGAAGATGATGGAGCTGCAGGTCGTCATTTTCATTGTTTCTTACCCCAAAGCTTCAGAACTAAAAAACCTGTCGCATAAAAGAACACCAACACACTGACACTGAGCTGTTTATTAAACAGGAAAAATGTATGTGGTTGCTGAGCTAACCAGATTCTGTGCTTGCGTGTCATCAGAGCTCTCTTTTTCTGAGGTTGGCTCTTTTCCTGTACCAGCAGCTTGTGAGTCTTTTCTAACCAACAAAAGCAAAACGTGAGTCAAAGTTCTTCCTTTACAACTGGAGATCTTACATATGTGTTTCTTTCTGCAGAACGTCTGCAACTTAGATGCACATGTTGACTTGACTGGTTTGACTTTAGTACCAGCAACAAGTCTGAACAGGCCTTTCTGACACCTACACCCTGAAAAAATAAAACATATTAATATGTATGCGTATCCCCCTTTTGGCTGTCCCACCTGTCTTAAAATGTTGAAAAGAATGCAATGAGGGGCGGCTCTTTATCAGGAAAATCCTCCAGACCAGATCTGCACTAAAATCAGAAAGAAAAGTACGAGGTGGTTTATCAGTTCCTGCAGCCTGCTGCACCAGCTGAGTGTCAGTTGTGTCTTAAGTTCTGGTGTAAAGTCAACACTGAACTCTACAATGAAAACAGATAGGTTATTCTACATATCTACAGTAACCCTCACCCTAAATGAGATGTGGTGTCTTAAATGATTTCAAGGAGACGACCTTCTTCGTTGCAAGAGTATTTATTGCACCACGAGCACTGCAGTCTGCAGAGTCCAGAACCGAACAATACACACATACATGATCTTAAACACATTTGTACATCATGATTCTCCCCCCTGTTGGATCTTGTTAACACTCTACTCCAACCAAATCCCAACTTCCTGTTTTAACATGACCATGATATCTGTCACTCACATTGATAATCCAATGGTTGGGTTTCCCCGCCTCTCATAACCTGATCCATTATCCAATCTGTAATGGTTAGACAACACAGGATGAATCCATCAGAAATTGGACATGTATACATCATAATCTTATATTAAGGTACTTAATGTCACTACTGTGTGAGGTATAGAATGGCATTTAATCTTTATCAGCAGCATGTTTCTTTGATACAAAACAAACCCTGAGTTTTAATCAGGTGCGTTTGGAGTCTGCAGTTTTTAGTCCACATCCTGTGTGTCGGAGTGTGAGCTGTGGAGTCAGTGTGTGTGTGTTTAAGAATAGTGAAACCCGTTTTAATTTCAGTGTCGTATTTTCATCTTTTAGAGACTGATTGTGATCTTTCTCACCTCCTAATCATGCAGGTAGAGTGAAGTTACTTGTTACTGAAATATGCACCCAAAGGTCACAAACATGACTCAGTGTCAACCACCAGTTATTATCACCATTAATCCATCCAGCAGCTCCACTCTATCACTTTATGTTTTACTGTCTTTTATATGATATTGATTTGATCAGTTCTATCATGAACTCACCTTTACGATAACGTGTTGGTTCAGCTATTGCTTCCTTTTCTCACCTACCCTAAATGTTGCCGACCCCCCCCCCCTTAAATGTGACAGTTTTAAACACCTCAGTGATCCTTTGTGGTTAGACAACATCGACAAACAGTCGAGTCTGAGATCAGCCTGCTCACATGCTCCCTGACCCTTCAAACCACAGACAACCACGAGTCAGATGCAAGAAAGACACCTTTAAGGCAATGAATAACAATGACACAAAAACACAAAACTTTAAAAACATTTTGATTTCCTGAGCAGATTCTGAGGAAATGGATTCTTATCACACGTATCTCAGCGATGAAGAACTACAAACCGACAACAACAATTCAGTGGAAATCTACTAGAAGACAGGAACCGAAGAAAATACTGCAGTACACGAATCACTTAAGGCAACTTTAATAAAGGTGCAAAGGACCAGAGTCAGAAATCAGAGAGCAAGAGAGAGAGAGAGAGGAATGACATGCAGGAGAGGAGACGCAAGTCAGATTTTAACCCAGGCGTCCTGCTTGGAAGGCTGCAGCCTCCGTACATGGGGTGCAGCACTAACCACTAGACCACCAGCGCCCCTAAGCTTTTCAGTTTTGTTTCAAACAAGAAGTTTGTACACAGTATGAGCTACAAGCCTTCACATATCTGTGCCTCATTGGCACCATTTTTTTATGAATGTTTGTTTACTAGAATGTAAACATTAATAATTCTAAATATTCACAAACACCAGCATGGTAGTTTTCTACAATGATGAAAACACCCTACTGACCCCCAACACTCCTGTAAGCTGCCGTTTTAATCTATTAGTATTTTCATGTTTTTAGCCATAAAATAAGCAGCTTTGGCGCCATGCCGTTCTCATGAAGTGTTAACATGAAAATGCAGCTTCTCCTTTGTAGAGCACGCCAGGCGCAGGTCTGACGATCTCCCTCCGCCCTCGTTGACACTGCAGAGCCTGCGTGTAGAAAAGACACGTATATTTAAACGACAGACGAAAGTGTAGATTTATTTCATTGAATACAGCAAAGAAAGAAGAGGATCCCGAACCACTTCCTGTTTCTGTGCTTGACTTCATGTCCTAACCTTCCATCTACCAAAAGGTTACTTACTGTATTTCAAAATAAAAGCACGGTTGAATCCAAACTATTGGAATTTCAAAACATGCAAATGATAAAAGGAGATTAATCGCCTTTATTCTGTCTTCTTACACCGACGGCGAAAAGGTTACGACAAAGATAAGCTCCAGGTGGACGATGTGGTTCTCACCTTATTCAAATTTAAACAATAACAGGCGTCAAACATCCTGCATCCACCAGTGATAACTTCTAATCACATAATATCTGTTTAAATAATGACAACAGTAACAGAATGGATGTACTGATTGATTCTTCTTGGACTAATGAGAGAGAACATTGTCATAATTCAAACCTGTTAATAATCAAATAAAAAGCTCTGACCTGAAGGTAGATAATGAAGAGGAGAGCACATGTGACCAGTATCACCAGAACAACCACAGGAACACTGGCTGGTGCCAACCTCTCACCATCCTCCTCCTCATCTTCATCACGCAGTGCAGTCTGTCTCTGAGCCTCCTGCACAGGACAGTCAGAGTTTCCTGTGGAGAGAATGCGAATGAGTTCAGATTTGAAAGTATAAACGTGAGCTTGTGTTCAGAACTTGTTTGCGGTCACGTGGGTGTCTCACCTAAAACATGAACGAGTGTGCCGTTCCCCCTGAGCCTCCGGTACGGAGGTGGGAAGAACACCTGGATCTGACAGCGGTACAGATCTGTGTCCGTGGCTTGAAGACCTGACACTGTCAGCTCCACAGCGCCCTCTCCCAACTGAGCGGAGCACTGCACCTGGAAACACATCAAATAATCTGAGTTTGACTTCGGCAGCAAACCGATGCTTCCACTCCTGTCAGGGATTCAACTTCAATGTGATGGGAGTAAAAATCAAACAATATCAATCCCTGCCATCTTTTGCTGTTGTTATGATTGACAAAAGTTGTGTTTCCTTAACAGATTTTGACCGTTCATTAGTAAGAAACTGTTAAGAGGAAGTGTGTCTGCAGAGCCTGTTATAAGATCTCTTGATCTTCAGGCAGCCGTAGAGGTGTAAAGTAACGAATTACATTTACTCGCGTTACTGTAATTGAGTAGTTTTTTTTTTGGTGTACTTACTACTTTTTAAGTGTTTTTTAAAATCTGTACTTTTACTTTTACTTAAGTAGGTTTTCTGTTGAGTATTGTAATTCGCTACATTTTAAATCACATCCGTTACTGAGTAAAAAAAAAAATAGGCCTTCTATGAATGATTTTCCTTCATGGCACCGGAGCGACGAGAGACAGAGAGACAGTCTACCTGCTGAAGGTGTTTATAAACTGAAGTCTCATTGTCTTAAGTCCAAGATGATTCAAATAAGTTGGGTGTGGTTCCTACTCTTGGGCAAAGAAGTGGCTGAGTGCTCTTTCTCACTACAGTCTTCGCGACTACAATCGCCGCTGCAGCTCCGAGCGATAAAGACATTTAATTACGGAAAGTTTTTCACAATAAAAGTCCATTATTCCCGTCTCTGGGCTGTGCTTTTATTTTGAAGCAGACGTATGAGGAAATTGGGTGTTGTAAGCTGCTGTAACTTAACACATCTCAGATGTGTGAAAATAAAGACTTCAAACCAAACAGACTCGGTTAGAAGTTTCAGTTGCTAATATGGAAACAAACAGTGACTAAAACATCTAATATTTAAACTCATACAGGCTCATTTTAAAACAATAAATGGATTATCTTTCATCTCAGGTTTAGTTGCAGCTACATCAGCCTTTGAAGCTGCATTTGAGACTAAGAATAACAAAACTAAAAACATTAAAATACTCTACACTGTTTATGATTGAGACAAAGACCCCTTTAGTATTTTCTTAAATAGTTTAAACATTTCCCTTCATAAAACAGCTGATTACTTGAACATATAAGCCTAGAATATGTATCCATTATTTATATTTTGTTTTTGTCAATGGGGTAGAAAAGAAAATGTTTATCTGAAAAGATAAACTTTGCCTTTAATTAAAAAAAACGTTGAGATTAATATCCTCTCGTCCTTTTTCACGACACACGAGAGACGCGTTGTTAAAAAAAAGTAACTAAGTAACTTTTACTTAAAGTACATTTTAAACAAGTTACTTTTTACTTTTACTTGAGTACATTTTTAAACTGGTACTTTTACTTGTACTTAAGTAAAATTTCATAACAGTGCTTTTACTTGAGTAGAATATATTAGTACTCTTTACACCTCTGCTGTAGACTCACCCGTCCTTCTTTCTCCACAACTGTCTCTCTCTGCTGTGTGAGGTTCAGCATGAACCAGCAGAACACCTGGGTGCCGTGAAGACCTTTCAGCAGAGTCACACGGAGATCCTCTGGGTCAGGGAGGTTGGAGGGCAGACTGTGGGACGGTTTGCTCAAGTGGGAAAAAGTTGGAGGTTTGATGACGCACCGGACCTGAGCTGTACCGTTTGTGCTCACCACTCTGTAGGGCTGGATCACCTCGAGAGCTGAAGACAAAAGAAAGCATTCTTCAGATTTACTTTTCTTTGGTCTGAAACCATGGAGCAAATGAAGGATCGGAAAATGCAGTTCCCCTTACGGCCACTTGAGGCCTGCCCCAAAAGTGAGCCATTCCCCATAGAGACCTAAATTAAGACACCCAACTTTCCTGCTGACAAATAGAACACATACATGCTATGATGATGCACTCTAAGTATTAAAAGTGTTTTTTTAAAGCAGCAATATGTAACCCCTAGTGTTTAAAATGGGTACTGCAGTCCAAATTCAAAACATTGGAGAGAGAGCGTTAGAAGGAGGACATACTGGGCTGCTGCATTGTTGTCAGAGAAGCCAGCACTTCAACATCAGCATGTTTCCTCAATGTCTGATCATATAGTAAGGTCACTTTGTCATTTCACTCACTACACATCTCACTGAGTGGATGATTTAAGTGTAATGTCTTTATGCGTTCATACAGAGATAGGACAGTGGATAGAGTCAGAAATCTGAGAGAGAGAGAGAGAGAGAGAGAGAGAGAGAGAGTGGGAAATGACATACGGAGAGGAGCAACAGGTTGGATATGAACCCCAGCTGCCCGGTTTGAGGACTGTATCCTCTGTACTGGGCATGTAAACTAACCACTAGGCCACCGCAGCCCTGGGTTGGAACACCTTTGTCACTAAATTTCTAGCTCTAAGACAAAGTCAAAGAAATCCAGTTGATACCTCATAATGTAACTCTAACATATCTCCTGTACAACAACGCTCCCTGTTCAGAGCATGAGAGCATCACATCCGCTAAAGTCAAACACTCACCGCTCCTCACAGGCACGCAGAGACTGAGGGCCGTCCACACACTCCACACCATCACACAGCGAGTCAGGAACATCCTGCAGAGTCGCAGTCGCACAAAAAAGATACCACGTCCTGAAGAAAAATGACAAAACCTTATTGACTACACGGCCTCACTCTGAACAAATGTCACCGAGGTTCATCAAAAACAGTGACGCTTGAGCTTTATAGAGGAGCGCTCTGCTGAGAGGTCATGGAAATTGTGTGGCAGCAGGAAATGAGAAGGTGTTTTGCCGGTAAAAGGAGACGGCAACTTGAAGAATCTGTGGTTCTGCAAAACATTTGAGTGAAGCCTGTTTCACTAAATTTAACCAAATTTTTTTTTTTCTCTTTAGTCTCAGTGCTGCTGACAGCATGTTCTCTGAAACCTTAGAGACAAACCACAAGCGGCACCGTGAGTTTGTTCTTTACTTGTTGCTTTCATGTTTAAAGTTGGGAACGTGCTGAAACTTTGAATAACCTACAAATCCTGCAGATGCGTAAAGCCGAAGTGAGGATTGTGATCTAAGGAGTATGATTTGAAGGAGGTGTTCGCACATCCAACAATCCAATTGGAAAGAAAGAAAGAATCCAGCACACTACTCTTGCTCTGCATCAACAACCGTGAATATCACAACAGGGCGCTGGTAGCCTAGTGGTTAGTGTTTGCAGCCCATGTACGCAGGCTGTAGTCCTCCAAGCGGGCAGCTCGGGTTCAAATCTGTCCTGTGGCTACTTTCCTGTATGTCATTCCTCAATCTCTCTCTCTCTCCATTTTCAGTCCCCATCCACTGTCCTATCTTTTTTTTTTATATATATACTTTTACTACTTTATTAATCCCTGAGGGAAATGTTGGTTCACTCTGTTACTGAGAGACATGTTCTCACACACAGGACCTGAAGAGATTTCAGAGTGGAGCTGCTACACAGGGCACTTCGGCCGGCAGTACTCGATACCTGCCCTTGCGCCTCTCCAGCTACCAGACCAACTTCCATATTATGATCCGCTGCATCTTGACTTGAACCCAAGTCTCTTCGGACTGAGCTGCTGCCGCTGCCCTAAATGGCATAAAAGTTTAAGGAGTAGGATTAAAGATTTTAGTATTCAAAGGAGGGAAAAGTGTCTTTTTCAGAAAGAGATTTGGATAACCGTAAACTACAGAGCCCCTAAAGGCCTAAAACAAGAACATTTTAACATTTAGCACACAAGCGATCATCTTGTGCACAACATAATGAAGCTGTGGATCATCTTTGTTTATACTTAGGGACTCTGTGGCTCTGAAGGAAACTCCCTTAATTGGGCTGTGAAGCAGTATGTGTGCTTTGTTCTGACCCTGCTGTCGTCTCTACCTGAAACAACGTGTTGAACAAAGAAACGACTCGTTACCAGCATGAAATGGTAAACTGACTTGAGCTTGTATAGCGTTTTCTAGTCTTCGGGCGACTCAGAAAGCGCTTTTACACATCAGGTCACACCTACACATTCGCACCCTGATGGTAGAGGCTGCTGTGTAGTGAGATCATTAGAAGTAACTCATTTCTTTCATACGCCGCCGACGAAGCAGCGGGAGCATTTCGGGGTTAAGTGCCTTGCCTGAGAACACATTGAACATGTGGCTGCAGGAGCTGGGGATCGAACCCCTGCCCTTCTGGTTGAGAGACAATGACTCTAGAAACTGAGCCAAAACCGCCCCTAAACTATTCCGTGATATATTAATATTTTTCTTTTTTATGTACTGAATTATATCCACTGCACATGTAAATCTTTATTCTTTATTCTTTATTAATCCCTGAGGAGACATTCTGGTTTTACACTCTGTTAAACACTCTACCAACAGACCAACTTCCATACTTTGGTATTACTTTTGGACTTGACCCACCAACTCTCCAGTTCCCAACCCAAGTCCCTACAGACAGAGTTACTGCCTCCCTTCATTTCACATCCCATATAGTTTGTATGGCTTTGTACCCGGATGTCAGTAAAATGTAATGTTTGTGTTAACAGCGGACCAGCTTACCTTCGTTTGATAGCGAAGTGGTCTCTGAAGCAGGCACACCTGTGTGGGAGGGGTTAAGGTGTAAAGGTAAGTACAGGTTTGTTGGTTTGCTCTTCTTCTCTTGCTATCTTCTATCTGTAGATTCTTTGATTACACCATGAAGTTGTTTTTTGTTCTTTGGCCTCAGTCTAATGATTGTGCTTCATTTTTCATATTATTTCATCATAATTTATGCTTCTATGGAACAGTGCAATCATTTGGATATTTCATGTTTCATGCCAAACTCACCAAAACTACAGAGAGAACATGCAAACAGCGGAAACTCTGTCATTCTGCTCGGAGTGTTTTCAGGTAGATCAAACTGAAAGTGCTGACAAGACGACATCTGGTGTCTTTTGCCTGGAAACTCTGCTTTTGCAGAAGGTGCCGTCACCACCGCAAGCTTCAGTTACACGGAAAAACGGATTTAATTTTGCTGCCGTCATATTGTCGTTCATGTGAAGATAAAAAAATATGATCACTGGTTATCAGTCCTCAGGTGAGAAGTCATCATCAGGCTGATTTCATTCTTTTTTAACCAATTACCGCATTCACCATGTCTTTGGGAAACATTGTGTGATAATGGCGTTGAAACCATGTAATAAAAGTCAAACTGGTTGAGCTGTCATTACATATTTATGATTTACAGAAATGAAAGCAGGGAAGTCGGACATCCACCAGATTTAGCAGGAATGCTAATTATGCTTGGTTGTCCATTGCAGGTTACAAAAAACAAAGAAGCATGACCAGTGACAATACACAGACTCATAATTACCATACACACAAAGAAAATGTATATCTGTTCATGTTCTGTACCAGTTACCCCGTGCCTGGTCCCTGCTCGCACAGATCCCAGCTAACTGTAATTGTGTTTAAAAGTGAAATACTCTTTTTTTTTCCTGTTGAAATGTGTGAAACTTCAGATTCATGTGTGTCTTCATCCAGAGGCGCTGCTCATCAACAGGCAAGGCAGGCAACTGTTTAGGGCCCCGGGTCTGCAGGAGGCCTAGGCCTGCAGGGAGTCCTGTGCGTGCAGGGAGCCCCGTAGGGCTGGCAAACCGAATAAACCTTTATGTTAATTCACAGAGTAAAGAAAAACCCCTGTGACGTATTGGTAACAATGACTGTAGTCCTCACCCACTCTGTGCAGCACAAACACACGCATGCACACACAAAGACACACACACGCACACCCACACACACACACACACACACAGACACACAGACACACACACACACACACACACATACACAGACGAGTTGTGTGTCTTACTATGTGGTTATGTGGTTTGTTTTCCGCCTCCTCTTCCTTTCTTTCTGCACAGTCGGCACAGTTATGATGTCATCATCAACAAACATCTTGTGAACAATATTTAGTTTTTTTTTACTGAAGATCCTGAAATATAAAAATTTGAATTGACCCCAAAATCACAAAACATTTTTACAGAAGCAAACAACAACACAAAGACAACATGAAGCTTTGTAGCTCAGCATGAAGCTGCAGTTCCTTCCAAATAAACGCTTTCTTATCGATGCTATGTGACATACTAATAAAGCGATCGTTTCATATTTCATCCTCATCGATCCAGAAACTCACCCAGATATTTAAACGCCAAGAAAAACAACATACAGCTCTGTTTAGCATCTGACATTGTGCTCACTTTAAATCCCAACATCCCATCAACAAGGGCAATCTACGACCACTAGAGGGCAGACTTTTCAAAAACTTCTTGAAGCTGAGAGAGGGAGAGAGAGCACACTAAATGAGCAGGATCGAGAGGGCGCCACAGACGGACCTGACTTCCCAAAGAGGACAGAGTCTGCACCTACTGCACCCAACAGGAGGTGGAACTACTTGTCCACTGTGCCAGGACACCAGAGACACGTACTTCCCTCTCATCCTCACAAACCAAATGGACAACGTGTGGACCTGCAGGGTCAGGTACATCAATGTGCAAATACTGCAGCTTTTAAAGAGTGTCCAGCAGCTCAAGCCACCATGAAGAGGACAGTCTGAGCATCACTGCACCATCATCTGCACTCCTCAGGGGCGTGTCCCGGGGTGGCCCAGCTGGTGGCCACACACATCCCTGTTATTCAAACTAAAGAAAACATGCTACACTCATATGTAAAGAAAACTACCAGCAGCCTTTTGCAAAAAAAAAAAAAGCTTTAATATTTTAACACAAGTCCCGCCTCTGACTGGGCAAACAGCCAATAAGAGTTCAGGACTTTCGGGGTGGCATCTGGGGGGGGGGGGGGATGCCACCCCTCTGAACACGCCCTTGGCACTACTCAAGAGGAAGTACAAAAAACTAAAAGGAATAAAAGCCTTAAATTAAAAAAAGGAAAACAAAGATAAAGTCATTTAGAGAAAAATAAGAAATAAAAACATTAAAAAGGAGACAAAAAAAAAAAAACAGTAAGGAGACGATTTCACGTAAAAGAAAGTCTGTAAGAGTGAAAAACCTGTAATGGATCATAATAGATGAAAGTACAGGATAATAATATAAGAGTAGAATAGAATGAGCTCATCAGACCTGATTGGCTGATGCTGATTCTGGGTTGGGCAGGACAGGAAACAAGGAAGCGGGGACGCGCAGGGCATGGATACGCGCTCCCGCTGAGTTTTTTGGGATCCGGTGTGGAGCTCAGGATGCATCAAGTCAAACACTACTACACCTGAATACAGGTGAAGGCCCCTTCAAAATAAGAGACCAACAATTTTTTTTTTTGAATTCTTAAAATTATTTTTTTAATTCTTAACTTACGGCCTCCTTACACACTTTTTATGTATTTAAAACTTAAACTCGTCAATAATGTTTCATTGTTTGTTTCAACTTGATGGTGCAGGGACAGAAGTGTTTTGTGTCTGATTATGTTTCAGTTCTTCACGTACACACAAGAATATGTTGTTCGTGTCATAACTTGGTTTCACACTTGGTTTCACACTTGGCTGATTTTGAACAACTAAAAATGGCATCTCAGACAAAAAGCAACACCCAAGGCCTCTCAAAGAGAAGATCAAAAAACAGTTGGTGAAACTTTGGATCAAAAAATACAAAAACAAATCAATTAACACCTCCTCAAAGTTTCATTTAGAACAACCGAACACAAGATGAGTCCATGGTTGTCCATCGGTTGATAGCCGTGCCGTATAAGATATTCTTTATTAATCCCACGAGGGGAA